AGTTTAGACGAACTTAAACTCCCTGTTAGCAAATAATCTTAGTTAACTTAACGACGAACCGTTTAAGCTAACAACAGAAACCGTCAGTATTTCCAGCAACTTTTCGCGTAGGAAGCTAATATTTTTTTTTGTGAAATATAAAAAGGGTTATTACAATGCTCCTTTGCATAGGGTTATTAAAAGAGCCATGAAAATAATTTACAAAGTCCTACCTGAGACTCGCTTACCTTTTGCAAATAAGTATCCACAGAAATAAACACGTCCGACACTCCTATGAAAAAAGCATGGACTCTTCGATATGATTTTTCTTTTATTGTTGATATAAGTATGTATTTTCTTAATTTTATGAGCACATTCTTTACAAATCGCGACACGTATATTTTTTTTGTATCAACATTTTTAAGGGGGGAAAGGGTGTATTGTCGATCATAAACATTTTGTTAGCATACAAATAAGGAAATTCAACGACTTGCAATTACGAATTTTTTTTTTAATATTCAGGAAAAAGTACTTATATTTAATAGTCTTTAATTAATGTAAATATAATATAAATAATAACATCAAGCAAATAAAATAATACACATATTTTTTGTTTTTTTTTTCATTTACTGCTCACAGTGAAAAATTTTAAATAATTTTTCCATGATTTACTATGTTTGCATTTCATTTCATTTAAAACATTGGCCCATTCCGAAGGTGATAATTGTCTCATATTATACGATTCACTTGCAATATATTCAATTTCCCATTCTGCTTTGCCTAACTCATTGGCCTTCTTAATGTCAAGATAATATTGAATATAATCAGACAATAGGCCAAACGTTCCTGATGAAGTTGAATACCTGTACTCTCGAATTCCTGCGTTGTGCTCTATAAATAATTAAAATTATTATGTTATTATAATTGATTATTCATTTATACGGAAGAACTTCATTAAATTTACTTGCTTGGAACTATTGAAGGAGCATTATTCAAAACTAAGATAATATTGTTGACCGAATTCTTTGAAGGGCCTTCATCCTTATCAAGATAGTATAAACTGTATTTGTCACGAACATTAGCGGATTCTGTTAAAAAGGTCAAAGCATCTAGATTTGTATGACCTAGATTGTAAAAAGAATTAATCATTAAATTTAAATAATATACAAGAAAAATGATATTTCTTGGGTACGAACCAGAGAAGTGACCGGATATCACATCAGAAAATTTCCCGAGCAATTGTACGAATTTATCTTGACATTTCGGAAGAAATGATGGTTCACCTAAAAAAAAAAAATTTTCAAAATACGCATTAAAGAAAAATCTAAAAATTCATTTATTTTTTACCATCAGAATCCAACGGTGGAACATGTTGTGCAATAAAAATTCTTCTTCCTTCTTTCCTTGCATTCTTCAATTGATATTCAATCCACTTCAATTGAATTGCTCCTGGAGATTTTTTATGATCGCAATCCTTTATTTGTTCATTAGATTCGTAGAAATACAACGAATTTAGGCTAAGAACGCTGAGTTTTGAATTTACATCTTGTCTAAAGTACCCTCCATTTGTAAAATCATCTGTTAAATTCAAATTTAAAGGCGCCCATATTTGAGTCAAGTTACTGAAAAGTGTATTTGTTCCACCTCCAAGCTGATTATGTTCTATTTATTCACAAAATGAAATTAGTATAAATAAATTATTTGTTGTACTTTCATGCCTTTTAAAGAAAACTCACCCCACTCGTCATTGTTTCCCAATGTGGGGATCTATTGAAACAAAACGTTAATAAGACTGATTCATTTTTGTCTTTCGAGTCATTATTAAGATGTTACTTACAAATTTAGTTTTATTTAGGTCAAAAGTTTCTGTAACATATTTGACAATAGCTTTATGACCCGAGACGACTTCATCTTTCAAAAAAGGTAATTTTGGGTCTCTATCATGTCTCAATGAATCACCGGTATAAATTACAAAATCAACATCTTGAAAGTTTTCTTTAAGAAAAGAGAATGCTGAATCTACTAATTCGTGAGGTGAATCACATTGTGAACCTAGGGTACCAAATATTCCTGATTTATTATTCTTTGATTTTTTGGCATAACGACGACAATATTTTTCAGGTTTTCTATTGTGAAGATAATAAGGGTCAAGATGGATATCTGTAAAAAAGAAATGCAAAGCATAATTGAATTTATGTATTCAGAAGTATCAATAAAGTCACACGAGTAATTATTAAACTTATTCACCAGTAATGTGCAAAAATTTCCCCGAATATTCTCTATTGTTAATTTCGTTTATCCGAAAATTATATTGTCGCGATGAATGTAAATCATATACGTTTATGGGAATTGCTTCAATATTCAAAACAAATTTCATCCATATCCCAAATAACCATGTTAAAAGTTTAATTGGCAACTTCATTTTTGAAAAATTCTTTTAATATTAATTCGTGACTTTTTTTGAATTAAAGGATATATATATATAAAAGAAGTGTATTTCTGAAGATAAAAAAAAAGCATAAATCATTTGAAAAAATCTTTTTATGTCATTTTTAATAACTTACCATAAATATCTATAACAATAAATTAACAATTTTTATATGGTTGGTCTTTACTAAAAAAAATATTTAGAAATAAAGATATCTAGATGATCTGCATCCACTTTGTCACTTTTCTTTTAGAAAACATGGTGTCGACTTATGATTCGTCAGTATAACATTCCTAAAGAAATCAGAAGTAAAGTTATTAACCAGCGACGGTTATGCAAAATATCTATAATTAGTAACTTATTCAAATTCAAACGATTTTTTTTTAAAGAAAATATTTAATTCCAATAAATAAATTTTTTTTTAGCGGTGCGAAACGAAGGACTCGTTGTCCGTTCGTTTGCAGCTCGAGACAATGCAGATTGTTTATTTCCTTCCGTTACACTTGTGATCCGGACTTAACCGAAAACAGTGTATGAAATTCCGGGACGCATTTATTTCACATTTCACCGACACGATCATTTCACCGACACGATTATTTCACCGACAGTTTATTTTTAATAAATAACAATAATTTTTTTTTTCAATTTAGCGATCATGATGTCATAGCACACAATAATAAAAATTGATTCTTAATTTGGCTAATATGGCTAATATCTGATAGATAATATAATATGTGATACTATTTATTGTTCGATGTATACATAAATGGAAAAACAAATGCTAATATCGATCAACCTTTAAAAAAAATTATTTTTGTCCTTTTTTTATACTGCATCAAAATATTCTCATAATGTATATTTGTGAAA